ATCCAACATTGCGTGTGTGTGCTACTCGGCAGGTAGAAGTCTCACACATCAAGGTGCGCACACACAGGCAACGTTACACACACACACAGATCCAACATTGCGTGTGTGTGTGTGCTACTGGGCAGGTAGAAGTCTCGCACATCAAGGTGCGCACACATAGGCAAAGTTACACACACACACACACAGATTCAACATTGCGTGTGTGTGTTTGCTACTGGGCAGGTAGAAGTCTCGCACATCAAGGTGCGCACACACAGGCAAAGTTACACACACACACACAGATCCAACATTGCGTGTGTGTGTGTGTGTGCTACTGGGCAGGTAGAAGTCTCACACATCAAGCTGCGCACACACAGGCAAAGTTACACACACACACACAGATCCAACATTGCGTGTGTGTGTGCTACTCGGCAGGTAGAAGTCTCACACATCAAGGTGCGCACACACAGGCAAAGTTACACACACACACAGATCCAACGTTGCGTGTGAGCTACTCGGCAGGCAAGCGGTCTCGTGCATTGTGGGCATCTACCGCCGACAGCGAGGGCACACGTGCACACGGTGGCGATTACATTGAAGGGCTGAATGAGAATAGGTTTTTCCACTTTTTTTCTGGCAACAAAACAGTTGTGCTAAGATGTTTAAACACCAAACTGAAACCTTTTACAAGGAATCATGTCTGCATTAACCACAATACTTGTGGTCAGGATGCAAACAAAACACACGCTCTGATAATCTGTGGCATTGTATTGGAATCTGATTGGTCCACACCAGAGACAGCTTTCTTTTGAGCCTCGTCTCAAAACGGTGTTAGACCTCAGAGGTGTTTTGTTTGTATTCTGACCACAAGTATTGTGGCTAATGCAGACAAGATTCCTCGTAACAAGGTTTTAGTTTGGTGTTTTAACATCTTAACACAGCTGTTTTGTTGCCAGAAAAAAAGGGGAAAACCTATTCTGACGGAATGAATATTTGAATTAAAAAATAAATGTAAAAAATAAATGACTCCCGGCGAAGATTGGGACAACGGCCCCTCCCCCCCCTCCCTTCCATCGCAGCTGGGCGAGATGGCCCATTTTGTTCATAAGGCCCCAAAAGTATAATCGAGGAACGCATCGAGTTAATGTATTGTTTGAAGCTGAGCATCAATAATAGTGGAATACAGCCACAGTAGAATCAGTGCCGGATTAATCATCCTAGCAGCAAAAGCCGCTACAAATGCTACGGGCCCCGCACTTTGCAGGCCCCCACGCTAAATGCTTTCAAGCTATCGATTCCGGCCCCGTGATTCTGCACTTGCTCTATTACTATAGTACTATACCGCCTTCGACTTTTATGAACCGCTGGGTATTTGAGGTTAGCGATTTGTCGTATTATCTGGCTGTATGGCAAATAAAAAAGTACAATTACTTTACCATGCAAGTTAAAATTTTACGTGTTTTAATATCCACGTGTTTTTTTAGGGCCCCTTTATAACATCATGCTACAGGCCCCGCACTAGCTTCATCCGGCACTGAGCCGAATACAGCCACAGCAGGAAATATAGCCACGTTAACTACACACCGCACCAGGTACTCATTTGAGGTACTGTGCCTCCCCCACCTAGGGGAGGCACAGTACCGTTTCAGATGATGGTCGCCGGTGTTGGCCATGAGCGGGAATCCAACTCGGGTGGCCTGGTTCGAGTCGCCTGGTTCGTCGCGCTCCCCCACTCAAGCCATCACCACCCACAAAACAACCGCTGGTGCCAGGCTACGTGCACTTTAAGGCCGCGTGAAGTGTCGAACGCCCGCTGGCAGGAGGGTCACCGGACAAGACCCAGGTGCCACGGGTTGACCGATTGAGATGACTGGCAGATGCACCAGCTGTGCCCCCTGCTGTGCCAACATGCACACACAAACCCACACTTCCCGTGTCTACATCATCACTGGGCAGAGCGCTGAAACGTCAAATTTTCGCCGGTGTTGCAGCCACCTTCCCAGACGCCACCGTCGCAGATCCCTCCACCAATGTGGACCACAGAGGAGAAGTCGCGTGAGAAAGTCTACGATATGCCGCTTTATACAAACCAGGTCAAAATTAGGGTGGCGGGCGGGGGGGGGATGACAACTTTAGCCCCAGTAATTTGGATCATTCGGAAAAATTGACTCGCGATCACCGTTTCAAAACCGTACAACGGACAAGACCGCTTGCCGCTGAATCTCAGCCGGCTGCTCCCGGAACAGCGGCGACCGCGTACGGTACAAGAACAGCCTAGTGCTCCGCCGACTCGTTCCACCATCGAACGTAATGCACGCAAACGGAACACACGGTACGCACGGTACGCGAGCGGAACACACGGTACGCGAATGCCGAGAGCTCGCGACGGACACCACGACGAAAAAACACACGGCGGAAGGTTTGTCATTTACGATCTGCGCGCCAAGCAAGATGCGCCGAGGAGGAACGGAACAAGTACCAGTGACGTGCAGGAACGGAACAAGTACCAGTGACGTGCAGGAACGGAACAACAGTCAGTGCCGGGCAGGAACGGAACAAGCACCAGTGGTGTGGAGGAACAGAACAAGTGCTGTCTGGGAATAAGGTAACAAGCGCTAGTGACGTGCAGGAACGGAACAACAGTCAGTGCCGGGCAGGAACGGAACAAGCGCCAGTGGTGTGGAGGAACAGAACAAGTGCTAATGTCTGAGAATAAGGGAACAAGCACTAGTGACGTGCAGGAACGGAACAACAGTCAGTGCCAGAAAGGAACAAAAACAAGCGCCAGTGTCTGCGAAGAAGGGAACAAGCGCTCAGGCAGCAGGCCCACGTGGGGTAAGACGAGGTACACAGGACATCGACAAGTTGACAGTGAAACTTCCAAATAAACCTTTAACATTTTAACTCAACATTGTCCCCCCCCCTTCCCCCTCCCCCTCCCCCACCAACTGCGACAACTTTGCAGGACCCTCATGGAAACAAAAGTCTCGAGGCTCGGCGATTAAACGAGCGGCACGGGTCAGGCGGTAACGGACGCACGCCAGTCGACCCTTACACCGCAGTCGTTTTAAAACAACGCGTTCTGGTCGTGTCAATCCCTGGTTTGGAGTAAAAGTGGATGTCATAGAGCTACAGTGAGGGAAAAAGAAGTATTTGATCCCCTGCTGATTCTGTACGTTTGCCCACTGACAAAGAAATGATCAGTCTATAATTTTAATGGTAGGATTATTTGAACAGTGAAAGACAGAATAACAACAACAAAATATCCAGAAAAACGCATGTCAAAAATGTTATAAATTGATTTGCATTTTAATGAGGGAAATAAGTATTTGACCCCTCTGCAAAACATGACTTAGTACTTGGTGGCAAAACCCTTGTTGGCAATCACAGAGATCAGACGTTTCTTGTAGTTGGCCACCAGGTTTGCACACATCTCAGCAGGGATTTTGTCCCACTCCTCTTTGCAGATCTTCTCCAAATCATTAAGGTTTCGAGGCTGACGTTTGGCAACTCGAACCTTCAGCTTCCTCCACAGATTTTCTATGGAATTAAAGTCTGGAGACTGGCTAGGCCACTCCAGGACCTTAATGTGCTTCTTCTTGAGCCACTCCTTTGTTGCCTTGGCCGTGTGTTTTGGGTCATTGTCATGCTGGAATACCCATCCACGACCCATTTTCAATGCCCTGGCTGAGGAAAGGAGGTTCTCACCCAAGATTTGGCGGTACATGGCCCCGTCCATCGTCCCTTTAATTCGGTGAAGTTGTCCTGTCCCCTTTGCAGAAAAACACCCCCAAAGCATAATGTTTCCACCTCCATGTTTGACGGTGGGGATGGTGTTCTTGGGGTCATAGGCAGCATTGCTCCTCCTCCAAACACGGCGAGTTGAGTTGATGCCAAAGAGCTCCATTTTGGTCTCATCTGACCACAACACTTTCACCCAGTTGTCCTCTGAATCATTCAGATGTTCATTGGCAAACTTCAGACGGGCATCTATATGTGCTTTCTTGAGCAGGGGGACCTTGCGGGCGCTGCAGGATTTCAGTCCTTCACAGCGTAGTGTGTTACCAATTGTTTTCTTGGTGACTATGGTTCCAGCTGCCTTGAGATCATTGACAAGATCCTCCCATGTAGTTCTGGGCTGATTACTCACCGTTCTCATGATCATTGCAACTCCACGAGGTGAGATCTTGCATGGAGCCCCAGGCCGAGGGAGATTGACAGTTCTTTTGTGTTTCTTCCATTTGCGAATAATTGCACCAACTGTTGTCACCTTCTTGCCAAGCTGCTTGGCAATGGTCTTGTAGCCCATTCTAGCCGTGTGTAGGTCTACAATCTTGTCCCTGACATCCAATGAGAGCTCTTTGGTCTTGGCCATGGTGGAGAGTTTGGAATCTGATTGATTGCTTCTGTGGACAGGTGTCTTTTATACAGGTAACAAGCTGAAATTAGGAGCACTCCCTTTAAGAGTGTGCTCCTAATCTCAGCTCGTTACCTGTATAAAAGACACCTGGGAGCCAGAAATCTTTCTGATTGAGAGGGGGTCAAATACTTATTTCCCTCATTAAAATGCAAATCAATTTATAACGTTTTTGACATGCGTTTTTCTGGATATTTTGTTGTTGTTATTCTGTCTCTCACTGTTCAAATAAACCTACCTTTAAAATTATAGACTGATCATTTCTTTGTCAGTGGGCAAACGTACAAAATCAGCAGGGGATCAAATACTTTTTTTCCCTCGCTGTACCTCTGAGATCCCTTTCTTATTCTTCTTCAAATGATACTCCACACACAATAGAGGGCAGAACGTTCCCACGCACACGCTCTGCCGTACGAGAGTAACGCGCGTCGTGTGACAACAACTCGCTGTTCCCCCAGGGAGACCCGCTTTAAAATCGCGAAACCCACGAGCTTCGAAACAACAAACGGAATCTTCGGTCGACGTTCTTGATCCTTGGCCTCGTAGTCACCAGACCCCCACCGCCCCCGCCCACCCGCCAACCCCAGCCCACCTGCAGCCCACCCGCCACCCCCAGCTCCTCGCTCCATGCTCCTCTCTCGCTCGCTCCCTCGCTCCTTCCTCCATTCGTTTTCAGTTATTTACATCCTGTTGAGAAACGGACCAACGGAGCGAAGATTTTCACGCGGCGGCTTTTTTGGCTGACCGTCGAGCGACAAAGGCGGCGATTTCAGACGCGCTTGCGCGGCCGTCTGGAACGCTCTTCCTTCCGACATTAGGAAGCTACTGGGGAGCTGTGCCCCTTTTAAATCGAGATTTAAAACTCGCCTCTTTAGAACTGCTTTTGGAGTTTAGTTTGTGGTCGTCCCCACCCCGCCCGCACCTCCGATTAGCACGGTGGGCTACGTACGGTGGTGCGAAGTTCGGGAACATTCGGAGATGCGAGGTTATGGATTCTGCTGCAACACTCGGGGCCGCGGTGCGCCGCTGCCCGTGGCATTTGTGACGCTAGGGGTGGATGTGACGCTAGGGGTGTTGTGATGCTAGGGGTGTTGTGACGCTAGAGGTGGATGTGACGCTAGGGGTGGATGTGACGCTAGGGGTGTTTGTGACACTAGGGGTGTTTGTGACGCTAGGGGTGTTGTGACGCTAGGGGTGTTGTGATGCTGGGGTGGATGTGACACTAGGGGTGGATGTGATGCTAGGGGGTGTTTGTGACGCTAGGGGTGGATGTGACGCTAGGGGTGTTGTGACGCTAGGGGTGGATGTGACGCTAGGGGTGTTGTGACGCTAGGGGTGGATGTGACGCTAGGGGTGTTGTGACGCTAGAGGTGGATGTGACGCTAGGGGTGTTTGTGACGCTAGGGGTGGATGTGACGCTAGGGGTGTTGTGACGCTAGGGGTGGATGTGATGCTAGGGGTGTTTGTGACGCTAGGGGTGGATGTGACGCTAGGGGTGTTGTGACGCTAGGGGTGTTGTGACGCTAGGGGTGTTTGTGACACTAGGGGTGTTGTGACGCTAGAGGTGGATGTGACGCTAGGGGTGTTTGTGACGCTAGGGGTGGATGTGATGCTAGGGGGTGTTTGTGACGCTAGGGGTGGATGTGATGCTAGGGGTGTTGTGATGCTAGGGGTGGATGTGACGCTAGGGGTGTTGTGACGCTTGGGGTGGATGTGATGCTAGAGGTGTTGTGACGCTTGGGGTGTATGTAACGCTAGGGGTGTTTGTGATGCTAGGAGTGGATGTGACGCTAGGGGTGTGTGTGACGCTAGGGGTGGATGTGACGCTCGGGGTAGATGTGATGCTAGAGGTGGATGTGACGCTAGGGGTGTTGTGATGCTAGGGGTGTTTGTGACGCTAGGAGTGGATGTGACGCTAGGGGTGTTGTGACGCTAAGGGTGGATGTGACGCTAGGGGTGTATGTGACGCTAGGGGTGTTTGTGACGCTAGGGGTGGATGTGACGCTAGGGGTGGATGTGACGCTAGGGGTGGATGTGACGCTAGAGGTGTTGTGACGCTAGGGGTGGATGTGACGCTAGGGATGGATGTGATGTTAGGGGTGTTGTGATGCTAGGGGTGTTTGTGATGCTAGGGGTTGATGTGATGCTTGGGGTGGATGTGACGCTAGGGGTGTTGTGACGCTAGGGGTGTTGTGATGCTAGGGGTGTTGTGACGCTAGGGGTGGATGTGACACTAGGGGTGGATGTGACGCTAGGGGTCTTGTGACGCTAGGGGTGTTGTGATGCTAGGAGTGTTGTGATGCTAGGGGTGGATGTGACGCTAGGGGTGTTTGTGACGCTAGGGGTGTTTGTGACGCTAGGGGTGGATGTGACGCTAGGGGTGTTGTGACGCTAGGGGTGTTGTGATGCTGGGGTGGATGTGACACTAGGGGTGGATGTGATGCTAGGGGTGTTTGTGACGCTAGGGGTGGATGTGATGCTAGGGGTGTTGTGATGCTAGGGGTGGATGTGACGCTAGGGGTGTTGTGACGCTTGGGGTGGATGTGATGCTAGGGGTGTTGTGACGCTTGGGGTGTATGTAACGCTAACGGGTGTTTGTGATGCTAGGAGTGGATGTGATGCTAGGGGTGTGTGTTACGCTAGGGGTGGATGTGACGCTCAGGGTAGATGTGATGCTAGAGGTGGATGTGACGCTAAGGGTGTTGTGATGCTAGGGGTGTTTGTGACGCTAGGAGTGGATGTGACGCTAGGGGTGTTGTGACGCTAAGGGTGGATGTGACGCTAGGGGTGTATGTGACGCTAGGGGTGTTTGTGATGCTAGGGGTGGATGTGATGCTAGGGGTGGATGTGACGCTAGGGGTGGATGTGACGCTAGAGGTGTTGTGACGCTAGGGGTGGATGTGACGCTAGGGGTGGATGTGACGCTAGGGATGGATGTGATGTTAGGGGTGTTGTGATGCTAGGGGTGTTTGTGACGCTAGGGGTTGATGTGACGCTTGGGGTGGATGTGACGCTAGGGGTGTTGTGACGCTAGGGGTGTTGTGATGCTAGGGGTGTTGTGACGCTAGGGGTGGATGTGATGTTAGGGGTGTTGTGATGCTAGGGGTGTTTGTGACGCTAGGGGTTGATGTGACGCTTGGGGTGGATGTGACGCTAGGGGTGTTGTGACGCTAGGGGTGTTGTGATGCTAGGGGTGTTGTGACGCTAGGGGCGGATGTGACACTAGGGGTGGATGTGACGCTAGGGGTGTTGTGACGCTAGGGTGGATGTGACGCTAGGAGCGGATGTGACGCTAGGGGTGGATGTGACGCTAGGGGTGTTGTGACGCTAGGGGTGGATGTGATGTTAGGGGTGTTGTGATGCTAGGGGTGTTTGTGACGCTAGGGGTTGATGTGACGCTTGGGGTAGATGTGACGCTAGGGGTGTTGTGACGCTAGGGGTGTTGTGATGCTAGGGGTGTTGTGACGCTAGGGGTGGATGTGACACTAGGGGTGGATGTGACGCTAGGGGTGTTGTGACGCTAGGGGTGGATGTGACGCTAGGAGTGGATGTGACGCTAGGGGTGGATGTGACGCTAGGGGTGTTGTGACGCTAGGGGTGGATGTGACGCTAGGAGTGGATGTGACACTAGGGGTGGATGTGACGCTAGGAGTGGATGTGACGCTAGGGGTGGATGTGACGCTAGGGGTGTTGTGACGCTAGGGGTGGATGTGACGCTAGGAGTGGATGTGACACTAGGGGTGGATGTGACGCTAGGGGTGGATGTGACGCTCAGAGTGGATGTGACACTACGAGTGTTGTGACGCTTGGGGTGTTGTGACGCTGGGGTGGATGTGACGCTAGAGGTGTTTGTGATGCTAGGGGTGTTGTGATGCTAGGGGTGTGTGTGATGCTGGGGTGGATGTGACGCTAGGGGTGTGCCCACCTCGCGTGTTGTTTAACCTTCGTCGTGGTAATCGTCTCGGTCGTCTCAGCCCAGCCGTTGTTACTCCACCGGCCCTGAAAGCAGAACATCATCGTCGTCGCCATCATCCTCATCATCGTTGTCTTCATCATCGCCTTCGTCATTGTCGCCATCATCATTGTCATCATCATCATTATCATCGTCGTCATCACTGTCATTATCATGATCATCATCGCTATCGTTATCGTCGTCTTCATCATCGAGGTCGGGTGGGGGAGGGGGTGGGGGAATGAGGCGGGGGGGGGGGGGGGATGTAGTGTGGCGACCTCACCGAGTTGGTGTGACCACTGTCCCCATTGACCGAGCCGTCGTCCATGAACTCCAGGCGGCCCTTGTGGACCCCGGGAGCCGTCGCCTCCACGTCGGCCTCCGTGAACATCGGCACCACCTGCAGGAGACGGACGGACAGCCGAAGGAGGAGAGGGAGGGAGGGAGGGGAAGGGAGGGAGGGAGGGGATGATAAACCGTCTGTCCCAGTTCCTGCGCTGTTCTCCATCTGCTCTTTTAGGCCGTGAACCCGGGGATCGCCCCGGGAATGACCCGGGGCCTTCACGCAACGCGGCAACGTTGACCCTTCTCACAGAAAGCCGCTGCCGCCTATCGGGTCAAGGGTCGTTCCTGAGAGGCTCCTCGCGACCTTGGAGACTCGACTCCAAAGCTCCACGCGCGCGTGCACAGGGGCAGCTGCCACCGGGGGCGCCCAAGGCTCGACCGAACTGCATTTCATCGCCTCCCTTCCAGCTTCAAAAACCAACGCCCGCTTGCACACCGGGCGCCGAGTCGCATTGTGACGCACAGGGGCAGCTGCCACCGGGGGGGCGCCCCGATCAAACGCGTTAACACCCCCCCCCCCCCCCCGTCCGACGACGTTATCGCGTTGATTTTTCAAAATAAAACATTCATCGTCGTCATCAACATCATCGTCGTCGTCATCGTCGTCGACATCATCACCGTCATCATTTCCGTCTCCGTCGTCCTCGACAACATCATCATCGTCGTCGTCATCATCGCCATCTCTGTCGTCAACATCGTCATCATCGTCGTCATCGCCATCTCCGTCGTCAACGTCATCATCATCATCATCGTCGTGGTCATCGTCGTCGTCGCCGCAGTGACCTTGTCGTGCTCCTTGCCGCCTTCCTCGTTGTATTTGACCAGGGAGCTGAGGCCGGCGTTCATGCCGCCGAAGTCATCCAGGTGTAGCAGCCGGGGCTTCTGGGAGCGGCAGAAGAGGCAGCACAGCAGCCCTAGTGGAAGGCGTGGGAGTGGGGGGGGGGAGGACGGTAGCGGAGATGGAGGAAGAGCGTGAATGATTTTGCGCGGCTATAATAATAGTAATTTCATATGGCGTCATTCACGCTCATAGGATCCCACAACGCTGTAACGTTAATCATATATCAGAGGGCCAAATCCCATACGCAGTCGCAGCCAAGCAAGTGAAAACCACGCCGACAACCAAGAAAAATCAAAAATGAACCAACAAATTTAGAAATGGCACCGAGACGAAAAAGAAGCAACGGTCCCACCCAGCAACCGCGCGCGAGCCGGGTTCATCGATGCATCTCCGCCGGCGTACGTTCCCTTGGGACGCGTGCCAAACGTCACAGCGTTGTTCCAGCGTTCCCGCGTCCCTTTGCCGCCGCTGCGCCAAAAGCGTGTCCCTCCCCGCCGCCCGTGCCACGGCGCAGCGTGCCGCCCAATCGCACGCGGCTCTCACGCCGCGTCGGCTCGACTTCGACGCGGCTCGACTATTGCGACTCGCTGCTACTGCACTCTACGGGACGTCTGGCAAAAAAAAAACAACCATTAGCAAGCGGCGGCGCGCGACGCACAGCCACGCGGCACGTCGCCGCGACGGGGTCACCGCGTGACGCGACGGGGTCACCGCGTGACGCGACGGGGTCACCGCGTGACGTGACGGGGTCACCGCGTGACGCGACGGGGTCAACGCGAGACGCGACGGGGTCACCGCAAGACACGACGGGGTCACCGCGTGACGCGACGGGGTCACCGCGTGACGCGACGGGGTCACCGCAAGACGTGACGGGGTCACCGCATGACGTGACGGGGTCACCGCATGACGCGACGGGGTCACCGCATGACGTGACGGGGTCACCGCAAGACGCGACGGGGTCACCGCATGACGTGACGGGGTCACCGCGTGACGCGACGGGGTCACCGCAAGATGTGACGGGGTCACCGCATGACGCGACGGGGTCACCGCAAGACACAACGGGGTCACCGCATGACGTGACGGGGTCACGGCAAGACGCGACTGGGTCACCGCAAGACGTGACGGGGTCACCGCATGACGTGACGGGGTCACCGCAAGACGTGACGGGGTCACCGCGTGACGCGACGGGGTCACCGCAAGACGCGACGGGGTCACCGCATGACGTGACGGGGTCACCGCATGACGTGACGGGGTCACCGCATGACGTGACGAGGTCACCGCAAAACGTGACGGGGTCACCGTATGACGCGACGGGGTCACCGCATGACGCGACGGGGTCACCGCATGACGCGACGGGGTCACCGCGAGACGCGACCGCGTCCGTCCGGTGCTGGCCGAGCTGCATTTGGCTTCCGGTTGCCGAAACGCAGACGTCGCTGTAGAGGTCGCGGCCGTTACACACGGCACACAAAGCAGGGGTGGTGATAGGGGTTGGGGTAGTGATGTGGGTAGTGATGTGATAGGGTGGTGATAGTGGTAGTGATAAGGGGAGTTATAGTGATAGGGGTAGTGATGTGATAGGGTGGTGATAGTGAGAGGGTGGTGATAGTGAGAGGGTGGTGATAGTGAGAGGGGTGAGTGATGGTGGTAGTGATAAGGGTAGCGATGTGATAGGGTGGTGATAGTGAGAGGGGTGAGTGATGGTGGTAGTGATAAGGGTAGTGATAGTGATAGGGGTAGCGATAGTGATAGTGGTTGGGGTGGTGATAGTGATAGGGGTATAGGAGTAGTGACAGTGATAGTGTTTGGCCTGGTCGTAGCGGAGGCAGGGAGTAGCAGCAGTAGCAGGATGATGATGCTGGGCTAGGGGCGGTGATGGCGGGGGGGGAGAAGGGTTTAAAAGGGAGGAGGGGAAGCTGCAGGTCGTCGTCGTTGTGACTACGACGAGGTAGAAGCGACGAGGAGAAGCGACGAGGTAGAAGCGATGAGGTAGAAGCGACGAGGTAGAAGCGACGAGGAGAAGCGACGAGGTAGAAGCGACGAGGTAGAAGCGACGAGGTAGAAGCGACGAGGTAGAAGCGACGAGGTAGAAGCGACGAGGTAGAAGCGACGAGGGGAAGCGTCCGTCTCCGTCTCCCGGCTCACCGAACAGCAGCATCGCGAACACGGAGAAGAGGATGGCGGCGAGGGCGTCCCAGCCCAGGCCGATGCCGCCGACCGAGTCGCCGGAGCAGGCCGAGCCCTGCAGGAGGCCCCCGCAGCGGCACACGCGAACCGGCACGCGCCGCGGCTCGCCCAGGCCCTGCTGGTCGCGCACCAGCACCGACAGGTTGTAGTAGCCCGGCGGCAGCATGGCCGTCTTGAGGGCGAGCAGCGCCGAGTCGGTTCCTGTCGGTGCCGCGGGGGGGGGGGGGGGGGGGTCACGGTGGTGGGGTCACGGCGTGAGGTCACGGACAGAAAGCGCTCGACCGCTCGTCCACCCCGGCGTGTCGCGTCGCTCGCCGTCCGGGAAGCGCGGAGGTCGACTCGGGCCTACGGTACGGCCTAGCGGCTCGACGCGTGGCCCCGGGGTGTTGAGCCGCTGACGCCGTCCGCATTAACGGAGGCGATTCAGATTGAGGTCGAGATCGCGGTGTGCGTGTGGACACGTGTTGTGTGTGCTTGTGCACGTGTTCAGTGTGTGTGCGTGTACACGTGTTGGGTGCGTGTATGCGTGTTCTGCATGTGTACACGTGTTGTGTGTGAGCGTGTACACGTGTTGTGTGTGCGTGTACTCGTGTTCTGCATGTGTACACGTGTTGTGTGTGAGCGTGTACACGTGTTGTGTGTGCGTGTACTCGTGTTCTGCATGTGTACACGTGTTGTGTGTGTGCGTGTACACGTGTTGTGCGTGTACGTGTCCACGTGTTCCACGTAACGCAGACAAATAAAGATTCCAGTCAGTCTATCACTAACAGTTTATATTTTACCATGGAAGGCCCACTGAGCTATGAAACTGTTTTTCAGAAACGACCTGGCCACAAATGATAGCTCAACGAAGTGGCTTATCATCATCATTATCATCACGGAGAAGTGTAAAGTAGCCAAATACTCACAACGCATGAGACGCTGATTCTAAATGTGGCGGGGAAACCCGGAGGGACCCGGGGAAAAATCCACGCGACCACGGGGAGAGAGCGCGAGAGAGACGTGCAAACTCCACTCACAGAAAGAGGGCTCTGAGTTGGGAACCGAACTCAGGCCCCTTGTTGCTGCGAGGAGGCACAGGTGTCGTCACTGTGCCGCCCTGCCGCCCATGCCATGCAAGACGCTCCAATCACCGCGCCTCGCTGTGCTGTGCCGCTCGATGCTGTGCAGTCTATTGCCGCTGCTGTTCCGTGTGGGTGCAGTGCCTCGCTGTGCGTTGCTGCGCTACGCTGCACAATGCATTGCTGTGCGTTGCCTCGCACTGCACAATGCATTGCTGTGCGTTGCTGCGCAATGCTGCACAATGCATTGCTGTGCAGTGATGTGCAGTGATGTGCAGCGCGTTGCATTCCGTTTGCTGCGTAGTGCTGCGCATTGCAGTACTGTGCCTTGCTGCCCAGTGCCGTGCAGTGCGTTGCTTCGTGGCGCTGCGTTGTGCAGTAAGGTGCTGAGCGTTGCTGTCCGAGTGCTGCGAGGTGCAGTGCGTTGCCGTGCAGTGCAGTGCAGCGAGTCGTTGCATTGCTGCGCGGCGCTGTGGACTGCTGCAGGGCGTCGCGACGCGCGGTGCCACGTGGTGCTGCGGGGGGGGGGGGGGAGGGGTGGGAGAGGGGGGGGGGCCCTTGCCGTTCTTCCGCAGGTTCCAGCGGTCCACGGTGCCCGCGGGGTCGTTGAGCAGCTCGAAGGTGAAGGGAGCGCCGTTGGGACTTGCGTCGGCGTCGGTCGCCCGGAGCACCACCGGCGCTGTGGACGAGGACGTGTCCTCGGGGAGGCAGGCGTGGGCGCTGCCCGGCACCGACACCACCGGCATGTTGTCGTTCACGTCCTTCAGGTAGATGTTCACGGTGGACGTGCCCGTGCTGGGCGGGCTGCCTGTGGGGCGCGCGGGGAAGGCGGCGGCGGTCACGGCGTTAGCGCCGGACGGGCCCCGGCGGCGACCAGAGGTCGGTTCCCCGACGGCGCTCGCGGCTAACGGCTAACACCGGTGGACGGTTATCTGCACCGGTCCCTGGGTCTCGTCCGAGGTTGACCCGGAACCTCGCGCTTGCAAGTGCGGCGAGCTATCCGTTACATCACTTTGGCGCGACATGTGCGTGCATGTTGAGATCCGCGAGCGCGTGTGTGTGAGGAATACAGCGGGTAAGCGGTGGCAAAGCGGTGAGTGCCCTGCGCGACACACAGCGAGAGACAAAGACACAGCGAGAGGCAGAGACACAGCGAGTTGACGCAGTGAGACACACAGTGAGACACACAGCGAGAGACAGAGGCACAAAGCGAGAGACAGAGACACACAGCGAGAGACACAGTGAGACACACAGCGAGAGACACAGTGAGACACACAGCGAGAGACACAGTGAGACACACAGCGAGACACACAGCGAGAGACAGACACACAGTGAGACAAACAGCGAGAGATAGAGACACAGTGAGACACACAGTGAGAGACAGAGACACACAGCAAGAGACAGAGACACAATGAGACACACAGCGAGAGACAGAGACACACAGCGAGAGACAGAGACACACAGACAGAGACACAGTGAGACACACAGCGAGAGACAGAGACACAGTGAGACACACAGCGAGAGACAGAGACACACAGACAGAGACACAGTGAGACACACACCGAGAGACACAATGAGACACACAGCGAGAGACAGAGACAGCGAGACACACAGCGAGAGACAGAGACACACAGCGAGAGACAGAGACACACAGCGAGAGACAGAGACACACAGCGAGAGACAGAGACACACAGTGAGAGACAGAGACACACAGACAGAGACACAGTGAGACACACAGCGATAGACGGAGACACACAGCGAGAGACACAGTGAGACGCACATCGAGAGACAGAGACACAGTGAGACACACAGACAGAGACACAGTGAGACACACAGCGAGAGACACAGTGAGACACACAGCGAGAGACAGAGACACAGTGAGACACAGAGCGAGAGACAGAGACACAGTGAGACACACAGTGATAGACACAGTGAGACACACAGCGAGAGACAGAGACACAGTGAGACACACAGACAGAGACACAGTGAGACACAGCGAGAGACACAGTGAGACACACAGCGATAGACGGAGACACACAGCGAGAGACACAGTGAGACGCACATCGAGAGACAGAGACACAGTGAGACACACAGACAGAGACACAGTGAGACACACAGCGAGAGACACAGTAAGACACACAGCGAGAGACAGAGACACAGTGAGACACAGAGCGAGAGACAGAGACACAGTGAGACACACAGTGAGAGACACAGTGAGACACACAGCGAGAGACAGAGACACAGTGAGACACACAGCGAGAGACACAGTGAGACACACAGCGAGAGACACAGTGAGACACACAGCGAGAGACAGAGACACACAGCGAGAGACAGAGACACACAGCGAGAGACACAGTGAGACACACAGCGAGAGACACAGTGAGACACACAGCGAGAGACAGAGACAGCGAGACACACAGTGAGAGACAGAGACACACAGCGAGAGACACAGTAAGACACACAGTGAGAGACAGAGACACACAGCGAGACACACAGCGAGACACACAGCGAGAGACACAGTGAGACACACAGCGAGAGACAGAGACACAGTGAGACACACAGCGAGAGACACAGTGAGACACACAGCGAGAGACAGAGACAGCGAGACACACAGTGAGACGCACAGCGAGAGACAGAGACAGCGAGACACACAGTGAGACGCACAGCGAGAGACAGAGACACACAGCGAGAGACAGAGACACAGTGAGACACACAGCAAGAGACACAGTGAGACACACAGCGAGAGACAGAGACACAGTGAGACACACAGCGAGAGACACAGTGAGACACACAGCGAGAGACAGAGACAGCGAGACACACAGTGAGAGACAGAGACACACAGCGAGAGACACAGTAAGACACACAGCGAGAGACAGAGACAGCGAGACACACAGTGAGAGACAGAGACACACAGCGAGACACACAGCGAGAGACACAGCGAGAGACACAGCGAGAGACACAGCGAGACACAGAGACACACAGCGAGAGACACAGCGAGACACACAGCGAGACACACAGCGAGAGACAGAGACACACAGTGAGACACACAGTGAGACACAGCGAGAGACACAGCGAGACACACAGCGAGAGACAGAGACAGCGAGACACACAGCGAGAGACACAGTGAGACACAGCGAGAGACAGAGACAGCGAGACACACAGTGAGAGACAGAGACACACAGCGAGAGACACAGTAAGACACACAGCGAGAGACAGAGACAGCGAGACACACAGTGAGAGACACAGCGACAGACACAGCGAGAAACACAGCGAGGGACAGAGACAGCGAGACACACAGTGAGAGACAGAGACACACAGCGAGACACACAGCGAGAGACACAGCGAGACACACAGCGAGAGACAGAGACACACAGCGAGAGACACAGCGAGACACACAGCGAGAGACACAGAGACAGCGAGACACACAGTGAGAGACACAGCGAGACACACAGCGAGAGACAGAGACACACTGAGAGACAGAGACACACAGCGAGAGACACAGTAAGACACACAGCGAGAGACACAGCGAGACACACAGCGAGAGACAAGACACAGCGAGACACACAGCGAGACACACAACGAGACACACAGCGAGACACACAGCGAGACACACAGCGAGAGACACAGCGAGACACACAGCGAGAGACACAGAGACGACGGCAGGCTCCGCACCGTCCTGGATGGCGAGCACGGTCACGGTGTAGGTGCTGTTCTTGACGAAGGGCGACTCGCGGTCCATGCTTGCCGTGGCGGTGAGGACGCCCGTCACTGGCTCCACGCTCACCCAGTGCGCCGGGTCGCTCGCGATCTGGTACCTGGGCCAAAGCACGACGCGGAAGGATGATCGACGTCCGTCCGCTTGAATGCCGCGCGAATGACCGCTCGCGGTTCTGACCTACCGCGGGGCAACCTCTCTGGGTACCGACTTGGCTCGGGCCGGCGAGCAGCGTGCGACGGGGTGGGTGGGTGGCCCCCTCGTGCACCGCGCCGGCCTTCATAGGCGCTGCTACTCGCTAACAGCACCTGCCGCAAGAGTCACGTGGGTGCGTGCGTGCGTGCGTGGGTGTTTACGTACGCGGCTGTTTGGTTACCTGAGGGGCAGCCCCTGCTGGGCCAAGTCCGGGTCGCGCGCCACAAGCTTGTCCAGCTGCTTTCCCGGCGCGTTCTGCTCCTCGATGTAGATTTCCTGAAAGGCCCGAAGGTCATGGTTTGGGTTTCAGATGTTGGGGCGCCACAGATGGCGTCAATTTCCTCGCCTGGTATGCAGGAGGTTCATGGGTTCGATCCCGACCCTGACGCCTGCTGTATATTTGGAGTTTGCGGTGTCTCTCATCATCATCACGGTGGCTAGGAGATGTTAACTACCTCGCCTGGTATGCAGGAGGTTGTGGGTTCGATCCCGACCCTGACGCCTGCTGTCTATTTCGAGTTTGCGTGTCTCTTTCTCCCCGTGGTCGCGTGGATTATTATCCGGATCCCTACCGTTTCTTTTTTCCCCTCCACATTTAGAACCGACATCGCACGTTTATCTGTCTGCCGTACATTTCCACAAGATCACAAGCCACTTCGTTGATCTATCTGGCCAGTGTCGCGTCTGAAAAAAAAGCAAATTCGGCTCAATTGGGGCCTTACCTGGTAAGATAAAAAATAAACACTTTACAGTTTTTAGGTATCGCGCCGTGAGAAACGGCGTCGCGGCCGCCTCTGCTCGTCCGCCACCTTGGGGTTGGGCGTGAAGGCCGGCGGCTCGTCCTCGTTGGTCACGCTGATCTCCACGGTGGCCGTGCGCTCCGTCTCCGAGGAGGGCCCCACGAACGGCACCTCGTTGGCCACGGCGACGAGGAGCGTGTAGCGCTCCTTCACCTCGAAGTCCAGCGGCTGTGGGGAGGGGGGTGGGGGGGGTGGCACGAGTTTCATTAGTTCCCGATTTTCCCGCATTGTCATTCCCACTTCCCTCATCGTCAATCCCACTTCCTGGATCGTCATTCCCACTTCCTGGATCGTCATTCCCACTTCCTGGATCGTCATTCCCACTTCCTGGATGATCATTCCAACTTCCTGGATCATCATTCCCCCTTTATACATCGTCATTCCCACTTCACGCATCATCATTCCCACCCTCCTGCATCGTCGCTCGCACTTCACTTCCACCGGATGCTGTCCGGAAGATGCTTCGCGTAGTCTCAAACCTGAACTGTCGCCCCCGCATCTAATCGCTGCTCGTCGTGAATGCGAGGACTTCTGTGAGTGGCCGGTGCGGTCGTGTGTGAACATCGGCACTGGGGAGGCAAAGGCGTCCAGGCATGGGTGCTGACCGCCCACCCACTCGTCGGTGAGCCGTGTGAACCTTCAAAGGTGCTACTCGCTAGCAGCCCCCTGCCCCAACGGTCTGGATGCGTTTGGGATCTTTGTCTTTGAGTAGGTAGGTGGGTGAGTGAGTGCATTATTGAGTGGGTGACTGAGTGGATGAGTGAGATGGAGGGTGAGTGGGCAAATGATTGGGCGAGACGGTGAGTGAGTATAAGACTCAAGTTTATTTTGTTCAACAAAGTGAGATCTCAAGAGACCAGAATAGAGTCCCGTTTGCGAGAGTGAGTGCGTGGGCGAGTGACATGGTGAGTGAGATGGTGGGTTCGTGTGTAAACAGTCAAGTGAGCGAGTTTAAGTTTCAAGTTGATTTTGTTCAACCTGACAGGAAACTCGAGAGACGCTGCGGTGGCTAGGAGATGTTAACTGCCTCGCCCGGTATACAGGAGGTCGTGGGTTCGATCCTAACCCTGAAGACGCCTGCTGTATATTTGGAGTTTGCGTCTCTCTTATCATCATCACGGTGACTAGGAGATGTTAACTCTCTCGCCTGGTATACAGGAGGTGTGGATTCAATCCCGACCCTGACGCCTGCTGTATGTTTGAGAGTTTGCGTCTTTCTCTCGCCCCGTGGTCACGTGGATTTTTCTCCGGATCCTCCGGTGGTGGTTTATTCCCCTCCACAATTAAGAATCAACGTCATCTCGCGTTCAAGAGTATCTGTCTGCTGTTATACGTTCCCACTTCGTTGAGCACCCCATCCGGATTCGAGATCAGGGGCGGAGGTGGGGGTGTATGCAATTATGTAATAGATCAGTAACAGCCACTTAGCATGTGACTGTAAGGAATTGCAATATGTGTTGTGTATTACTAGACTCAGCACAGCCTGGAAGCATATTATTAAGTAACCATCGTCGCTGGGGGGGGGGGGCTACGTACCTTGACCACCGTGACGGCTCCGCCGTTGGTGTCCGACACAGAGCGCACGGCGAACTGGCCCAGCTCGTCGCCGGCCACGATGCGGTAGACGGCGCGCCAGTTGGGCGAACCCGTCTGGTCCCGGTCCTTCACGGAGAGCCCGGCCACTGTCACGTCTCGCTTGTTCTCCGCCACCTTCCCTGCAACCTGGAGATGGTCAACGGGGGGGGGGGGGGGGGGGGGGGTGGGGGGCAGGGGGGTGGTTAGAAGTTTGCAGGAAGTGGAGAAATCGATGCGGGAAAGGCAATGCGGCAATGTGGGAAAGGCAATGTGGGAAAGGCAATGTGGGAAAGGGAATGCGGGAGAGACAATGCGGGAGAGGCAATGCGGAAGAGGTAATGCGGAAAGGCAATGCGGGAAATCTCAATGACGATGCGGGAAGTGGGAATAACGTTTCAGGAAGTCGAGAACTAATGAAACTCGTGCCCCCCCCCCCCCCGCCAGCCGCTGGACTTCGAGGTGAAGGAGCGCTACACGCTGCTTGCTCGTCGCCGTGGCCAACGAGGTGCCGTTCGTGGGGCCCTCCTCGGAGACGGAGCGCACGGCCACCGTGGAGATCAGCGTGACCAACGAGGGCGAGCCGCCGGCCTTCACGCCCAACCCCAAGGTGGCGGATGAGCGGGGGGGCAGCCACGACGCCGTTTCTCACGACACGATACCTAAAAACTACGGCACAATACCTGAAAACTATCAACTGTTTTTTAAATTATCCAAGGTAAGGCCCCAAATGAGCTATGCGGCTTATCTTATCTTAAAATAATTAACATAGTGCCTTATCCCACCCACCCCACCCCTCCCAACAACCCCACCCCCCTGCCCCCCCCCACCCCACCCCCCACTCCTCCCACTCCCCCTCTCACGCCACCCCTCCCACCCCACACCACCCCCCTATGCCCCCACCACCCCCCCTCACCATGGTGGCATCGAAGACGGGCCAGTTGTCGTTGATGTCGTTGAGGCGGACGGTGGCCGTGGCTGTGGTGGAGAGGCAAAGCGGCGCTCCCTGCAGGTCGCTGGCCTTCACCACGAACGTCACCGTCTCTTGCAGCTGGGGGCGGGAAGTCGCACCACCACAGCGTGGGCCGTCAAACCATGCGGTGTTTGTCTAGGGCAGTCGATGGCGGGGCGAGTGGTGGTGGTGGTGTGGGTCTACTCCAGGGGTGGGGAACCTTTTTTTTCTGCCAAGGCCCATTTTGGATATTTATAACACCATCCGCGAGCCATACAAAATTAGCAACTTAAAAATTTGCCCGTTATATTTGGTCAAACATTTCATGAACTCGCCCCTAATGCGATGGCTGGAACTGCTTCTCTTTGGTGAGGCGTGTGATGATGTTAGCCGGTATTGACGATGTTGCTGCTCGCAAATGCTTTTCCAAGGTTTGCTCCTAGATTTATTGAATTTCGAGTCCCGCCTGCGGTTGCCTTGGCACGGCCAGACCAAATGATTTCGAGGACCTTCCCCACCCCTGGTCTACTCGCTCGGCCTGCGACTCGCCGCACGAGTCTACCTCGCGCTGCACGCGATTCCCAATCAAGAGTCTGCTGTGTTCGTACAGGAGGAATCCGATGAGCGATAGAGCGTTGACAGCTGTGATGGCTGCATAGCTATGATGACTTCATAGCCGACCTTATTGGTCACCCCCGTGCCCCTTATACATCTCAACGTTCATCCTACAAAGTCCCATGACAAGAGAGAAACACAAGCAAATAGACACGAAAAAATGTTGCCCGTATTGAAACGGCTGTACGCCGTATGGACCTGGTAACTCAATTTCCCTGCACAAGAATACGGGGTAAACTGTATGGGTTGACAGGCGTGACATCTTCACACGTCTTCAAGAAAGGCAACCTTTCTCTCCTAGCTCATGACGATGGCGACGATGATGATGACGATGGTGGTGATGATGATGATGATGACGATGACCATGAGATCATGATGATGACCGTGACGATGATGATTACGATGACGATTGTGAAGATGATGATCATGACGATGAAGACGACTACGATGACGACGACCACGACGCCGGCGGAGCCTCTCACCTCTCGGTCCAGGTTGGCCAACTGAGTGGTGATCACCCCCGTTTGGGCGTTCACGAGGAATGGGTTTCCCGGCGGTTGGGACTCGATGGAGTACACAACCATCGCGTTCAGCGTGTTGGGGTCGTCCGCGTCCGTCGCGTTCAGACGCATCACGAACGTGCCTGCACCACACCGCCGTCGTCGTCACCATCATCATCAACGAGAATATCATCTTGATTTAAAGCTTTCGTGACTGCAGTAATTAATATTCTTAGCTATTTCGGTAAAGTCACGTTGAAGGGAAACAATGAAATAATAAAATATATAAAACAATAAAAATTCTCACGACGTTTCGGCCATAACACAAACGGTCATCATCAGCACACCTGATGATGACCGTTTGTGTTATGGTCGAAACGTCGTGAGAATTTATATTGTTTTATATATATTTTATTCTTTTATTGTTTCCCTTCAACGTGACTTTACCGAAAGAGCTAAGAAAAATGAGAATATCATCATTAGACATCGGCATCGCCATCATCACCCGCGCCTCCGATTAGCACGGTTGGCTACGTGCGGTGCGAAAGACGTTCAACGTCCATGAATCATCATGCATTATCACCATCATCGTCGTCGTGAAGGGCAACATTGCCACCATCAGCAACGCCATCGTCATGAATATCATCATCATCATATCATCGTCACCATCATGTATATGACAATGATCCCTACACGTGACCCCCGAACGAGTCACGTGACCTACGATCCCTACACTGGGCCCCCGGAACCCGTCATGTGACCAACGATCCCGACACGTGAACCCCGAACCAGTCGCGTGACCTACGACCCCTACACGTGACCCCTGAACCCATCACATGACCTACAAATCCTCCACGTGACCCCCGAACCAGTTACATAATCACGTGACCCCCCCTCCCCCCCGCGTTCAAGGCCTCACCCGCGGGGCCCATCTCGTCGACAGTGCCGCTCAGGGACGACAGGACGAAGATGGGGGCGCAGTCGTTCTCGTCCTCAACGTCCACCACGAGGTTGGCCGGTTCCTCCACATCGCTCATGGAGCGATCCATCGCGTGCACCGTCATCTGGGGGGGGGGGGGGGGGGTCCCGGAGGGTCGCCGTGGTGGACGATGGGAAGGGGGCAGGCGGGGGGGTTGGGGATGATAGGGGGGTGAGGGGGGGGGGGGGCGGTCAGCGGAGGAGCGGCGGGGGTGAGGTAGCGGTGTTTAACGTCTCCGCTTAGCACGGTCGGCTACGCACGCTGCTCAAGAAATTTCAACTTGTATCTCGCTACGGTGGCGAGATGTTAACTACCTCGCCTCGTATACAGCAGATCTTGGGCGTCGTTTGTTCCATCCTGCCCCTATCGCCTGCTGTATATTTGGAGTGTGCGGTGTCTCTCTCCCTGTGTCGATCGCGTGGATTTTTCTCCGGGTCCACCGGTTTTTGCTTCCACATTGAGAATCAACGTCACGCGTTTTAGAATATTTGGCTGCTAAACATTTCCACGCGATAAGCCGCTTCGTCGAGCTATCATTTGTGGCCAGGTCGCTTCTGAAAAAGAGTCACGTCGCTCAGTGGGCCTTTCCCCGTAAAATAAAAAGAGTTTATAGTTTATTATTATTACTACTACTACTACAGTATTATTCTTGTGATTTTACTCGTTTAGCCAGGAAAGCCTCACCGAACCTCTAGACTCTTTTACAGGAGGGTCCTGTCACGTTTTCACCAGTAGAGAGGTGCAATGCTGTTGTGCGTGAAATGCCAATCGGATAACTGGCTGCTGTAAATTTCTACACGATGAGCCACTTCGTTAAAACTATTAAACTGAACTTGGCATTTTCCTCGGCAAAGTCCACTGAGCTATACAGCCTTCTCTTTTTCAGAAGCGACCTCGCCGCAAACGGAAATCTCAAGTGGCTTCTCACACGTAAATGTACAACAGCCACATACTCTAAAAGCACATTTCATGAATGGGGAGGGGAAAAACAGCAGGACCCGGAGAAAAATCCACGCGACCACGGGGAGAACACGCAAACTCCATGTAGCTTGCAGCTCTTCCTGCCCGCACGTCCGATTAGCACGGTTGGCCTACGTACGGTGCGAAAGAAGTTCAGCATGCAGTACATGCATACAGGCGTCAGGGGTTGGGATCGAACCCACAAAACCACCTCCTGCGTACCAGGCGAAGTAGTGAACATCTCCTAGCCACCGTGATGATGATGATGATAAGAGAGAGACACCGCAAACTCCAAATATACAGCAGGTATTGTCATCGTCAGGGTTGGGATCGAACCCACAAAACCTCCTGCGTACCAGGCGAGGGAGTTAACATCTGATAGCCACCGCGGCGTCCCACACCACGTAGCTGTGCCGGTAATCCGCCCCAGTGGTGACCCCAGTGAGTGGCGCAAAACACACCGAGCACACGTGCTGGGGTGGCAGAGGTGTGGGTTGATGATGAGTGGGCCGGTGGCTCTCTTAGACTGATGGCTTTAATTTTAGACTGATGGCTTTAAACTAAGTTGTCTTGTGGTTGTTGTTGTTGTTGTTTGACTTGCGTCCCACTGGGGTTTTTGCACGCAGCGTTGGTGGTGTACGGCGCTTTTTTTTCTGGAAGATTTTTGCTGTTTTTTTTTCCTCGGTTTTTCTGTTTTCTTGTTCGTGTTTTTGTTTTTTTGTTTTGGTGTGGTTGCACCCGATTCAAGAGCCGAATGGCTCACAGGGCCATTACCAAATACATGAAACTGGAAAAAAACTCTCCGTAGACGGTTGAAAACCATGGATTTAATCAGTTGCAGCCTTCACTCAAAGAGGGTGGGAGGCAGTGTCACACCCACACACAAAGATCCCCCATATAGCCTTAACAGACTGTAGGGGCAAGTGTTGTTAGCGAGCACCTATGAAGGCCGGCACGGCACACGAGGGGGGTGGGTGGCCAGCACCACGCCCGACCGCCTTTGTCTTCCTAGTGGCAATGTTTACACACCGCACCAGGTACTCATTTGAGGCTGAGTCGACCTAGGGGAGGCCCGGGACCGGTTCAGATAATCGTCACTGGTGGTGTTGGCCGTGAGCGGGAATCGAACTCGGGTCGCCGGGTTCATAGCGCAGCGCGCTAACAGCTACACTACACTATCGCTCCCCACTCACCCAAACACACCCACACACACACACATACACACACACATGCACACACATACACACACATACACACCCACACACTCACCCAGACACACACACAGACTCACACACACATCCACACACACACACATCCACACACACATCCACACACACACATCCACACACACACATCCACACACTCACACACACACACACATCCACACACACACATCCACACACTCACACACACACACATCCACACACTCACACACACACACATCCACACATCCACACACACATCCACACACACATCCACACACACACATCCACACACATACATCCACACACACACATCCACACACACACATCCACACACACACATCCACACACACACATCCACACACACACATCCACACACACACATCCACACACACACATCCACACACACACATCCACACACACACATCCACACACACACATCCACACACACCCCCACCCACAGAGCCTGGAGTCTCAACTCCGGCGCTACGGCCGTGCACGTCGCGCTCAGCACCCCCCCCACCACCTCCGTCAACCTCAAGCGTCGCGACCACTGCCACCAAAGATCCCCCGTGTAGCCTCAACAGACTGATGGGGCAAGTGTTGTTAGCGATTAGCACCTATGAAGGCCGGATCGGCACAACGAGGGGGTGGGTGACCAGCACCACGCCCGGCCGCCTTTGTCTCCACAGTGGCGATGTTTACTACACACCGCGCCAGGTACTCGTTTGAGGCTGAGTCGACCTAGGGGAGGCCCAGGGACTGGTTCAGATATTCGTCACTGGCGGCGGCGTTGGCCGTGAGCGGGAATCGAACTCGGGTCTCTGCCGGGTTCGTGGCGTAGCAAACAGCCACACCACCACCTCCACCACCTCCACCACCTCCACCATCACCACCACCACCTCCACCACCACCTCCACCACCACCTCCACCACCTCCACATCCACCACCTCCACCGCCTCCACCACCTCCACATCCACCACCTCCACCACCTCCACCACCTCCACCATCACCACCACCTCCACCACCTCCACCACCACCACCACCACCTCCACCACCTCCACCACCTCCACCACCACCACCTCCACCACCTCCACCACCACCTCCACCACCTCCACCACCACCTCCACCACCACCTCCATCACCTCCACCACCACCTCCACCACCTCCACCACCACCACCACCACCTCCACCACCACCACCACCTCCACCACCACCTCCACATCCACCACCACCACCTCCACCGCCTCCACCACCACCTCCACCACCACCTCCACCACCTCCACCACCTCCACCGCTCCACCACCTCCACCGCTCCACCACCTCCTCCACCGCCGCCACCACCACCACATCCACCACCACCTCCACCACCACCTCCACCACCACATCCACCACCACCGCCGCCACCACCACCACATCCACCGCCTCCACCGCCTCCACCACCATCACCACCTCCGCCACCGCCGCCACCACCACCACCTCCACCACCTCCACCACCGCCGCCACCACCACCACATCCACCGCCTCCACCGCCTCCACCACCATCACCACCTCCGCCACCTCCGCCACCGCCGCCACCACCACCACCTCCACCACCTCCACCACCGCCGCCACCACCACCACATCCACCCCCACCACATCCACCCCCACCTCCACCACCCCCACCACCACCTCCACCACCTCCACCGCCACCTCCACCGCCACCTCCACCGCCACCTCCACCGCCTCCACCACCGCCACCACCACCACCACCGTCTCCGACAGCCGACACCGCAGCAGCCTCGGCGTTTGCAATCCGCCCGGCCGTGAGCGGCGAGGGCGGGGTCCGAGGCGGGGCGGCGACCCCGGGGGGCCTCGGAGCGGCGGGGTTGGGGGCGGGGGGAGCCAGGGCGCGGCTCGTCGGGCTCGACCGGTTCTCCCAAGCCGAAATAAAGAATCAAATATCATTGATTGTGGGCAATGTCATAATCCTGCTGCGGTTGTCGTGTATTCACGTGGTGTTCCAGCAGTCGCTTCGCTATCTATGCGGGAGGCCCACGCTGCTGAGTCACAGGACTCTTTTTGTTTGTTTTTGTAGAGGGTCCTGTCCCTGCCGCCGCCGCCACATTTTTTGGCGTTTGCCCGTAAGATCATTTCAGCGTCCAAGTAACGACGACGACCACGAGTCGCGTTTGTTATTCACGTGCGGAGGAGGAAACCGGAGAGAAAACCCCCACGCCTTGCGAGAGGGGGCAACGCTCTATCCCACTTTCCCAACCCCGTACAGATGGAATCAACAGACGGCGATGAGTCCACACACTCCGCTGCTGCTGCTGCTGCTGTACCACCACCGCGTGCTACTTGGCAGAGTCAGGGGTACGACTCCTCCTCGACACCCACCCACGGGAAGGGAGTTTCACAACCCATCTGTGCGTGATCCACCAACCCTGTCTGCTGCAGCCACGCCTACGTGCAGAGTGTGGCTACCATCACCACCACCACTGCCGCGCAGGGAGGGCTGTAGGATTTCACGGCCATCCGAACGGCAAAATTGTCCGACGTTTCGCTCCACGCGCCGGGAGTTGCTTCGGTTATTGAAGCGCAGTTGACGAAGGAGCTCCCGGAACGGGGGGCAGCGGGGGGGGTCCACCCCTACCCCCTAACATCTCGCATCGATGGCGAGGAGACGTGATTTCTCCCACGTGCCCGGTGCGCAGGAAAACCATGGGTTCAATCCCGGACCCTGACGATGCCTTTTGTTAATTTGCGAGTTGACGTGCGGTTTCTACCCCTGCTCTACAGAGTGTGAGCGAGCGTGAAAGTGAGCGTGCGTGTGCGGAGCGGTGGCGCTGCGAACCCGGCGGCCGGAGTTCGATTCCCACTCATGGCCAACACCGGTGACGATTATCTGAACCGGTCCTGGGCTTCGCCTAGGCCGACTCGGCCTCAAACGCGTAACCTGGTGCGGTGCGCGGTAAACATCGCCACTGGGGATACAAACGCGGCCGGGCGTGGTGCTGGCTACCCACCCCCTCGTGTGCCGTATTGTGGGAGGGGGGGCGCTGGGGGGGGGGGCTAGGGGGGGGGCTGGGTGGGGCTGGGGGGGTTCACTGCCCCCCATCGCTCCGCTTCCACTCGACCTCTCCGCGGAGGAGCTGCGAGTGGCTCGAGGCCAAACGTTCGCCGGCCAAATGCCAATTTGTCACCGAGAGAAACGTTTTTGTTACCACAGCACCCAATAACCAACCCAGTTGCCATGGCGACCACTCTGAGAATTCCTCCGCTGCAGGTGGGAGACGCAAGCACGCGGCTCGCCCAACAGGTTCCCTGTCACCGCCTAGCGAGACTCACCGTGTAGCGAGATTCACCGCGTAGCGAGACTCACCGCGTAGCGAGACTCACCGCGTGGCGAGACTCACCACTATGTAGCGAGACTCACCGCCTAGCGAGACTCACCGCGTGGCGAGACTCACCGCGTGGCGAGACTCACCGTGTAGCGAGGCTCACCGCCTGGCGAGACTCACCGCGTGGCGAGACTCACCGCGTGGCGAGACTCACCGTGTAGCGAGGCTCACCGCCTAGCGAGACTCACCGCGTGGCGAGACTCACCGCGTGGCGATACTCACCGCGTGGCGAGACTCACCGCCTAGCGAAACTCACCGCGTAGCGAGACTCACCGCGTAGCGAGTCTCACCACGTGGCAAGGCTCACCGCGTGGTGAGTCTCACCGCGTGGCGAAACTCACCACTACGAAGCGAGACTCACCGCGTAGCGAGACTCACCGCGTGGCGAGTCTCACCGCGTGGCGAGACTCACCGCTATGTAGCGAGACTCACTGCCTAGCGAGACTCACCGCGTAGCGAGACTCACCGCATGGCGAGACTCACCGCTACGTAGCGAGACTCACCGCCTAGCGAGACTCACCGCGTGGCGAGCCTCACCGCCTAGCGAGACTCACCGCGTGGCGAGGCTCACCGCGTGGCGAGACTCACCGCCTAGCGAGACTCACCGCGTGGCGAGACTCACCGCTACGTAGCGAGACTCACCACGTAGCGAGACTCACCGCGTAGCGAGACTCACCGCTACGTAGCGAGACTCACCGCGTAGCGAGACTCACCGCGTAGCGAGACTCACCGCGTGGCAAGACTCACCGCGTGGCGAGACTCACCGCGTGGCGAGACTCACCGCCTAGCGAGACTCACCGCGTGGCGAGACTCACCGCCTAGCGAGACTCACCGCGTGGCAAGACTCACCGCGTGGCGAGACTCACCGCGTGGCGAGGCTCACCGTGTGGCGAGACTCACCGCTACGTAGCGAGACTCACCACGTAGCGAGACTCACCGCGTAGCGAGACTCACCGCGTGGCAAGACTCACCGCGTGGCGAGACTCACCGCGTGGCGAGGCTCACCGCGTGGCGAGACTCACCGCCTAGCGAGACTCACCGCGTAGCGAGACTCACCGCGTAGCGAGACTCACCGCTACGTAGCGAGACTCACTGTGTAGCGAGACTCACCGCCTAGCGAGACTCACCGCGTGGCGAGACTCACCGCTACATAGCGAGACTCACCGCGTGGCGAGACTCACCGTGTAGCGAGACTCACCCTGTAGCGACACTCACCGTGTAGCGAGACTCACCGCCACGTAGCGACACTCACTGCCACGTAGCGAGACTCACCGCGTGGCGAGCCTCACTGCTACGTAGCGAGACTCACCGCGTGGCGAGGCTCACCGTGTAGCGACACTCATCCTGCAGCGACACTCACCGTGTAGCGGGCTCACCGTGTAGCGACACTCATCCTGCAGCGACACTCACCGTGTAGCGAGACTCACCGTGTAGCGAGACTGCGTCTCGCGGTCAAGGACGGAGGTGACCCAGACTTTGCCGTCGTTGTCGATGGTGAAAAGGCCCCTGGGTTCCTGGCTGGCCCCTGGGCCCTCCAGCCGGTAGGTGAGCGGATAGAACTGGAGCTTGTCGGAGACGTACTGGTGGGGGGGGGGGGGGGCACATGAAGATGACGCGCGATGAAGACCCGCGGTTGAAGACGCGTGGTTGAAGACGCGCGATGAACACGCATGGTTGAAGATGCGCGGTTGAAGACGCACGATGAAGACGCACGATGAACACGCAAGACGAACACGCGCAGTTAGCATCACAGCAGCTGCTGCCCCCCCCCCACCCTGCAAGGCTTCTGTCGTGGTGGGGAGCCGTTAGGGGATGAGCCCCCTCCGTCCCCGATTATTTGACAGCTTAGCCGCCCCACCCCCTGCCACTTGTCGCCCGACCCGTGTTGAAGTCTCCAAGTGTGGGTGACGTGGTTCGTGCCGCACGCAGCTGGAAGCTGGCCTGGGTTCGATCGCAGACTCGGGGTGCCTCAGTGTCACGCGTAGCAGAAGCAGTGAGGCTTTCGCGACCAATGTTATCAGTAGAAGAGGGCTTTTGTTTCTTGCGTTCCATCGCGTTAATATGAATGGGTCGTTAAACCCGCCACCAGCCCGGCGCGGCCCAGTGAGTAAGGTTTGTCACGTAAACTTGAGCACACCGGTGTGTTGGGACAGTAAACCCACAATTGCGCAGGTTAGTGCTGAACTGGTAACCAATTTGCGCATTTTGTTTACGTGACAAACCTTACTGATTGGCCGTGTCGGGTCGGTGGTGGGTTTAACGATGCATTGATATTCACGCGATGCAACCCAGAAAGAAAAACACCTTGATTACGGGCGCCTCTATCTCTCTCTCTCTGTGGAGTTTTTGTGTTCTCTCTCTCTCACTCCAGCGGCTTCTCCGCTCTCCTCCAGTATCTCACAGCGACATGAAACCCCCACTCAAATGTCACTGGCATTGGGCCAAAGCCATCAACATGTGAGCCTTACCTGGTGCAATTAAAAAAAAAATTAGTCTGATAGTTTTAAATGTCCCTTGGGTCCAGCCGAGTTCTCTCTCCATCGCGGTGGCAACCGCTGTCACGGTGGCCCCCCACACAACAGCTCCGCGCGGCCCTGTCTAGGCACGATTTCTGGATTTTCTGTTTCATGCACGTGCCTCCGTACGTACGATGAACTTCTTTCGCACAGCACGGCTGGCTACGTACGGCGCGAAAGAAGCTCAACTCGCGCACATCATACAATCCGAGAACGGGGAACGGGGGCCCCCGCGCAAAGCCTCGCATCGAAGCCAGGCCCGGCTGGCGTCTGCATGGCCTCACCGTGGTCACGTAGATGGGGTAGGGTTTCGGGGCGTTCTCTTTGGCCTGCGGAGTCGGCGCCTGCCAAAGCCTCTTCACTCGTTTGAGGGAATCCACCTTTGGGAGAGAAAACGACGACAATGACGACATTAGACGTTGTGGCGTTGCTGAAGCGCTTGCTCCAACGGTCTGTCGAAGGCCACGCGGGGTTGCCTTTGCCCTATTTGTGTCCAATCCTGGTCAGCTGGCCCTAAACCCCGACGAACAGATCACCGATCCGTGTGACAACACTTGCAACGTGACGTTTCACAATGGCATCCTCGTGCGCAGCGAGACCACGAATCAAACATGGCACAGCGGTCTCACCCAAACTTTCACTGGCACGGCTGCGTGACTAATGAGGTGTCCATAATCGAGGTTTGTTTTTTTGGGTTAAATCGCGTAAATGTATAAATGTTTCGTTAAAACCCACCACCACCCGACACAGCCAACTAGTAAGGGTGGTCACGTGAACAGAACGTGGCCAATTCGTCACTAGTACTATTATGGATGATATTGGTCGCGAGAGCCTACGTGTTTTTAACGAGGTGTCGCAGAAGCCTTTGGATTTCCATTATGTGCCAAAGCCTTAAAACTCTCAACTATTACCACTGTCTTGATTTGAAGCTTTCGTGACTGCAGAAATCCATACCCTTTGGCTCTATCGGTAAAGTCACGTAGGTAGAAAATAAAATAAATCACGACGTTTCGATTGCAACACAAGCAATCATCATCAGCGTCCATGCCCCCCATCTCTCCCCCTTGCCCCTCCCCCCTTTATTACCTACATAACCTCTTACCACGGCATCTCTCTCCCACTTCAGCAAACAACAACAAATTCTTGCTGTGGTTTTCCCACCTGATGATGATTGCTTGTGTTGCGATCGAAACGTCGCGATTCATTTTATTTCATACCTACGTTACTTTACCGAAAGAACCAAGGAGTATCACCACCGTCTTGCCACTGCTACCCCAGTTGGGATCCTATCATCCGGCAAATTCGCCACCGCATCGCGCGGCGCTGTCAGACGCGCTTCTTGCGGCCGTCTGGAACGCTCTTCCTCACGATGTTGGGAAGTCGCCGGAGCTATGCACTTTTCAAAAAAAATGTTTTATTATTATCGAGGAAATCCGCGTGGCCCGTTACACCGCCGTATCAGGTCTCGCGAGCGCCGTCAACATGAGCCAAACCGGTTATGGAAAGCTGGGGGGTAGAGAGACAAGGAGCGACAGGCCCCGCTGCCCCAAACACCAACGGGGGGGGGGAAGTTAGGGTTCAGAGTTTAAGTCGAGGGCGAGGGGGTGGACGAGGGAAGGAAGGGGGCGGTAACCAGAAGGCGACGGAAATCAAAAAGAGAAACGTAAGTGGCGGGAGGGGACGGGGCCCGGATAAAGAACGATCTCGTATCTCTCCTCCAGCCCTCAGAGTCCGTACCTCGTCTAATCCCGCCGGGGGGGGGGGGAGGGGGTTACACCCCCCTTATCATCGGTCCCATCTAGCCAACACTCCATCCGGCTGACTTATTTCAGATGTTGTGTAAGGGGGGGCACCATCTGCCCTCGAATTCTCCTCTCATTTCCCTTTGAGCTAATGGCCCAGGGGTCTCCTTCTTCTTCTTGGTCTTCTTTGTCTTCTTCTCCTCCTTCATATTCATCTTCATCTTATTCGCCTTCTTCATCTTCTTCCGTACGGCTGCTGATGGAGATGCAGAGCAACGACTACGGGAGCAGGCACAGCGCATCGCTCCAACGTCTATTACTGTTCGCGTGATCCTCGCACTTTGCCTGGCAGAGTCCCCCCCCCCCCCACCGCCAATGAAGGATCCTCGTCGCAGGGGGTCTATCTGGAACGTCGTCGTTTGACCGTACACAGAAGCCGTTGGCCTGGCTTGCAATGTCGTTGTTGTTGTTGCTGCTGCTCTGGAGACCATGAAATCGACGTTCAGGTCGCCAGCGTCGACGGCATTTCGTCGCGATTTCTCACCCAACAGACGAGGGTGGGGCCCCGCGAACTCCGCTGCCATCTTCCACTCGTCAACAGTGGGGGGGCTGAGAGGCGCTTGCATTGGGTGACCCGATCGGGGGGCTGTTGGGAGGGAGTGGAGCTGTGCGTGGTGGTCACGAGTTGGCGGAATGGAGTCCACGTGAGAGTCACTGAACCGGATCTGCCTGTGGATTGTGGCTCTGTCTGTACGGAACAATGATCGATAGCCCCCTCCCCCTAACCCCACCAAATACAAAGATGCCCCGTGTAGCCGTCACATACTGTTGGGGCAGGTGCTGTTAGCGAGCACCTATGAAGGCCGGCACGGCACACGAGGGGGTGGGTGGCCAGCACCACGCCCGGCCGCCTTTGTCTCCCTAGTGGCAATGTTTATCCACCGTACCAGGTACTCATTTCAGGCTGAATCGACCAAGGGAAGGCCCAGGTCCGGTTCAGATAATCGTCACTGCCGGTGTTGGCCGTGAGAAGGAATCTAACCTGGGTCGCCAGGCTCATAGCGCAGCGCAGCGTTACAACCAGCCCCCCACCTCTACCCCCCCACCTCCACCCCCCCACTTGCACCCCCCCCCCACACACCCCACCTCTACCAGCACTCCCGTTTCATCATCACGTGTCAACGGATCATTTCAATCGCAAAAGGCCAAACAGGACTCTCCAATTAGCAGGACCCTCCTGCGTAGCAGGGTCACGAGGCTCTCTCCCGTGTGGTGTAACGACTCCCGTTGCCGGCTGTGGATGTGACCGTCTTGAGTTGCTGCAGCTCCTTCATCCAAAATCGGTGGGGGGGCGCGGGATATACACGCGCGGCGGGCGGATACGCGACGTCGCCGCGGCACTGGCTGGCTCAGGCTGGCCGGGTGGTGCCGGCTGGCGCAGGCTGGTGGGTGGTGCCGGCTGGCGCAGGCTGGCTGGGTGGTTCCGGCCGGCGCAGGCTGGTGGGTGGTGCCGGCCGGCGCAGGCTGGTGGGTGGGTGGTGCCGGCTGGCGCAGGCTGGTGGGTGGTGCCGGCTGGCGCAGGCTGGTGGGTGGCCCCGTGCCATGCGCTCGAAGGGGACGCCACGACCGTTTGAACGATCGACTCCGTACGCAACCGCCCGCGGCGCAATTGGCAGGCGGGCGCGACAGACGTCGCTTGAAACAGCGCTCCCACATTACATTTCATTCAAAATCACGGCCCACCCCCCCACCCCTCCCCACCCCAACACCCCTCCCCACCCCACCACCCTTGGCAGGCCCGAGCGCGCCGATACATGCACGGACACTCACGGCGCGCCACAACATCGCGATGTCATGGCGCGAGGTCTCAGCACCCACGGGGAGCGGTGCCGCCAGTTCGATTCCGACCCCCGACCCCCGACCACGACCGACAGCAGTTGAGACCGAATCCGCGTACAGGAGGACCTGGACCTCCCAGGGGTCGACTCAGCATAAAAAATAAACGCAGCCTGGCGTGGTGGCAGCCGCCCGTCCACTTGTACGCGACGCTGGCCATCCTTCGTGGGGTGTTCATTAAAAGATCAGCACCTCCGATTGGCACGGTTGGTTGGCTACGTAGGTTGCGAAAGACGTTCAACGTACAAAGACGAAGATCCTAACAGACTGTTGGGGACAAGTGCTGTTAGTGAGAACCTATGAAGGCCGGCACGGCACACGAGGGGGTTGTGGCTGGCTAGCGTCACGCCCGGCCGCCTTTGTCTCCCCAGTGGCGACGTTTACACACGGTATTAGTCACTGGAGCGGCGCACTTTTAAATCTAGATCATCCAGATTGAAACTTTTGTTTATTTAGAACAGCTTTTTGAACGTTCAACTTCATTCGCGCCGTACGTAGCCAACCGTGCTAATCGGAGGCGCGCGGGGTGGGGGGGGGAGAAGGACACCAACAAACTCAACGCGAAAAGCAGCTCGAAAGAAATTACGTTCTCAATCTGGATGACGACTTAAAAGTACAACAGCTCCAGTGGCTCCCCAATATCGGACGGAAGAGCGTTCCAGACGGCCGCAGGAGCGCGCCTGAAAGCGCCGCGCGATGCGACGACCGCCGCTTCGAGGACGACGGCGGGAGTTCGCCGCGACGATGGTTTATCCTCCGTGACGATGTCGACGAGGTGCTGTGGTCCACCTGTGACAAGCACTTTGTGTGCGACGCATAGCTTGGGTTGCATGGCCACAATCACAACTGCTGCGGCTTGTCTTTAACACGGTGAATGTCATTGCGTCTCTATGTAGTTTTTATGGATCTCTGTGTAGCTGTACGAGTCTGCGTACAGCGACCTATAGCTGGCACAATGCATTGTGGGAAGGTGTGGTCCCGAGAGGACGAATAAGGGCGCTACATCCCTAGGGGCCAATGCAGCCCCCCTAAGCACCCCCCCCCATAACCCCCCCAAGCCCCACAAACCCCCCCCCCATAACCACCCAAACCCCCCCCCCCCAATCGGCAGCTCTTTTTTGTATTACACACTTTCTATTAACTCACTCTGTCAGTTGTTGTTGTATCCTCAAATCTTGTGACTCGATTTTAACCCACTTCCCAATGTGGTATCGACTACGAACTTGGTATACTTATGTCATATTGATAACAATACTATATTCTGTCATTAAAAATAGAAAATATATATTTTTGTAACATTCTTTTTTATTATGTTATATTTCGGCTCGGGTCTAATTTTCCACGTTCAACTGACGTTGGCTGTAAATTGGCCACGGTCCCCTTACGTTGTGGCAAGCTTCGAGGCCCCACTTCCTGGAGTCGTGGAGTTCTGCCATTACTACTAGTACATTTCTTAAAAGTGTGTTTTAAAAAAAAGTTTATTTTTTTAAATATTACTTGTTTTTTGACTGCAGTGCATTTCTGGGGCACAGGGAGTATGGCAAGTACAGTGCGGAGCAGAACTATGACGCCTGGCAAAAGAACCACGAACGCTACGTTTCACATGAGGCGGAGGTGTTCAGGTGAGTTCAGTCCCGCCTGCTGAACGGCGTTCAGTTTCAATGTCAAGCAGCGGACTTGTGTCCTGGCCCCGCCCCCACCCCCAGAGGTCAATTGAAAGCCACGCACTGACACGTCGCTGG